CAAAGCTAAGAATGTGAGCATCAGAGAATTAAGGATAATGTAAGGAGATGAGCACCTGCCAGTACAAAAGACATAAAAATGTTTATTTCTGTGTATAGGGAATTCAGGCATGCTCAAATCCATACATATTTTTGAATAGTGAGTTTGGGGAGGCTGAGAAGAGATAAAAATTGCAGTAAAATAATCATACCTTAAGTTTACATGACTTATCTAAAAGAATATTTGACAATGGATTTCTGTCCTTACAGTGCAATGCTGCTAAGAATAGCTAGTCCGCAGAGGAAAAAGGATCAGGTCAACATTAATTATATCAGAACTCACATCATTGTATTTGGCAGGTGTCCACTAACATAAAATGGCCTTTGTTAATTATGTTTATGGAACAGATCAAATTGCTGGGCTATTTTGGAGGGTTTTCTTAGCCTGTTGATCTTGGCAAGCACAAGTCTTTATGTCATTATATATCTTCTCAATCAATGGGCATTAAAAGTACAACTATCATGGTAAGTTCTTAGAAACTGCTTAATGTAAAAAGGAGTTAGAGAGATGGAAAACTATTCTAAGATATTCCATGGCAAATGTATCTACAGTTTCTAAATTTCGTTATTAAATCAAATTAGGCTTTCTAAAAGCAAGGTCCTTAGATCACATTAACTCAAATGCCTCTGTTCCAACACATATTTCATCAAGATATTCAATGTTATATAACATCCACTGGTAGTATTAAAATAATAATAAGCTCTGTTTATACATATATCTAATTTTACTGCATTATAATCGAAGGCACATGTGGTCTGTCATTTGATGTTCTCAACACAAAGAATCTCAGGATTTTCATTTCCAAATGTTGGTCAAAGTTTGCTTTAGAACAACCTGTTTCTAGGGTGGCTAAATATTCTTACCTTCAGAAAATAAAGATGTGAAATATTGATTTCTGTATTGAAATCAGTGGTTACAAAACTTAGATCCTAATTTAGTGATTGAGTATAATAACCTTATAAAGAAAAAAATATTACTCTTACTTATTTTTTTCAGAGTACTTTTGCTCTGGTATAATCTAAAAGTAACCTCAAGTATTCCAGAAATGACATATTAAAATCTTCAAGACTTGAATAAATGATACATGTTGATTTTCTCTTTTGCTTCTATTTTTTTCTTGAACCATTATAGGCTCAAAACAGTAAGACTATCACATAAATGATGCCGGTTAAAAGTGATGGATTCAAATTTTCTTTTCTTCTAATATCAACAGATGCTGGAAGGGATGTGCCCAAAAGAGAACCCTACTGCATTGTTAGTGGGAGTGTAACCTTGTTTAACCACTTTGGAAAGCAGTATGGAGGTTCCTCAGAAGACTCCACATAGAGCTCCCCTATGACCCAGAAATCCCACTTTTGGGCATTTACCCAAATGCTCATAAACAAGGTCATAATAAAGCTACCAGCGGAACTATGTTTATTGCAGCATTATTCACCATAGCTAAGATATGGAACAAACCCAGAAGCCCTTCAGTAGACAAATAGATCAAGAAAATGTGATATATATATATATATATGTACATATATACATACATGCATGTACGTATGTGTATATATATACATATATGTATATATATTGGAATTCTATGCCTCCATCAGAAAGAAAGACACTGACCCATTTGTTAGGAAATGGAAAGACTTAGAAAAAATATATATTAAGTGAAGTAAACCAAGCCCAAAGAAACATAGATCCCATGGTTTTCCTTATTTGCAATAACTAGTATATGTCTAGTGCAAGCAGAAAAGGTCAAAAGCTATGTACATATGACCAGAGAAGATGATATTAAGCAAAATGAATCCCAAGTTAGGGACACAAGAGGTTTTTATCTTTCTGGCTGTTGTTTTTAATGTTTCAATGTTTCTTTTGTATGTTTTCCCCCATGGTATAATGCCTGTTTTCACTGTATTTGATTCTGGTGCCCTGCATCTTGTTTATACAGTTTTTAATTTGGAGAGGGGAAGGGAAATAACAAAATGCTGAAATAAGGATACAGAATGACCCATTGTAACAATAAGATGTGCAAGACACTATGTCGAAAATGAACTTTACAACTTCAAGTGGGGGAGAGGAAGGATTTGGGGAGGTGGGTGAGAAGGGATGGTTGGGGAAAAACAAACGAGGAGGTAACAATGTTTGATAGGAAATGTACTCATTCTTACTCATGTAACTGTGTAACCCCTCTATACAGTATCTTTACAATAAAAAAATATTTTTTTTCTTTTCTTCTGAGGAACTTGATGACCCAAGAGAAGTTTCCAAATTATTTTTACTCTCTTTTATCCTCAATTTGCTCATTGTCAAATGGGGTAATTTCATACCAATTGGACAATGACGATAAGTACATGGGAATTTCACAGCATTGTGTTGATTATACATTAGCCATCATCGTCATCATCATCATCATTATCATCATCATCATCATCATCATCATCATTATCATCATTATATTTTACTTACTAAATTTTCAAGTATCTTCTCCACTTTCAGTTTTGAATGGAATTGAATGAGTTAAATATATAATAGATCAAAATGAGGTTACATAAAAAGGCCCTAATCTACTTTGACTACTGGTCTTTTAAACAATGATTGTTGATAGGAGTAACACCAGGTAGAGATGAAAGAAGATATCAGATGCGGTTTCTACAAGCCAGTAAGCAAAAACCATTGCCAGTAAGTCACTAGAAGTTAGGAAAGAGGTGTAGAAAACATTTTTTCCTCATAACTTGCATAGGAAGCAACCCTGCCAACCCTTGTGTTTGGCTATCCTAGGTCCTGGAAATGTGAGACTAGAGATTCTTGTGCTTACATTAGCTAATATTGAAAACTATGGCAGTAGCCCTAGGAAAAAAATACTACAAAAAGTCTAAGGGTGGTTGTTATTATAGCTTAGAAACCTAAAGTTCAGAATAAAGTTTTATGGTTTAAATCTTAAACACTCCCAGAAGTGGTGTTGTAGCTCAAGGGGTGGAGGGCTGGCCTTGAGCTGAAGAGCTGAGGGACAGCGCCCCAGTCCCGGAGTTCAAGTCTCAAAACTGACAGAAAAAAAAATTTGCAGAGTCTTAAACATTTCCCCATAAGGCCATAAGTTAAAGGTTTGATTGTCAGTCTGTGTTTCTACTGATAAGTTGTAGAACCTACAGGAGATGAGCCTTAGTGTGAGTAAGTTAGGTGCTTGGGTGTGTGCTCTTGAAGACTATACTGGTAATCTGTTATGTTATACTCTTTGCTTTACAGCTAGGAAATGAGCTTTACCAAACGTTCCCTTCCATGTTCTGCCTCCTCAGAGAAACTAAAGCAATGGAGCCTATCAACCATAGAGTGAAATTTCAGAAACTATAAGCCAAGATAAACTATTTTTCCCTTTTGAAGTTATTTATTGCAGGGATTTCTTCATAGCAACTGAAGCTGACATATGAATGAACTCGAGCAAATTCACCGAGCTAACGAATGATAGTTTAGGATTTAAACTATGGTTATGTTACTCTAACATAAAAGATGCAATACACATCACAGCTGAAAAATTGAAAAGGTTTGAAATAGAAAATACGCTGCCATCTACCTCCTTATCATCTGTTCACGGTTCTAGAGCGGCTAGAATCGCATAAGAAAGAATCTCAAATGAATTTAACCACTTTTGAAAGATTAGAACAAGTAGGAAAAAATTTAGAACTAGATTCAGATTTTTATTTTCTTTACTGAAAAGCTTTTAAAATAAAGTCAGTCGAAAGAATTTTTCTGCCTATTAATATAGCAAATAATTTGAGAGAGACTGAAAACGCCAGGAAGAGAAAACTGATGGGTGGCAGTACAAGTGTGATAAAACATACATTTGTATAGTTAGTATTTGTGTATTGTAATAGAGAAAGTATCAAATTTAGAGAGAACCAAAAATGTATGAAAATAAAACAAAAGCAGGCCAGGTGTAAATATGCTGAGATCACTCAGAGCAATTAAATATAGAAAAATGAATCCGATGATTATATAAAGTAGGGCCATCTATGAAAACAAGTCAGAGGCTCAATGAAACCAGATAATGGGTATATTATCTAGTTTGGTCACCTGAGAAAATTGTAGTTCATCACCACAATTAACAATGGATTATGTTTTTATACTGACTCTAGTAATAAGGTTTTCATGTAGAGTTTCAGAGCAACCTAGCCCTGATGTCAAAATCATCATCTATTAATGCAAGCGGTCAAAGAGCCACCACTATAACAAATGAATAGCTTCTTTCTTCGATGCTCTAGAATACTCTTTATAAGAAATGTATTATTTAACATTCCCAAACCAAGGCAAAACATCAATTGAATCAAATATCAAAGGAGTTTGATATCTTCTTATGAAAATAAAGCCAGATAGGACCACGTTTTCATCATAAGATACTTTTGCATCTGCTCCTGCACATCATAAAATAGGCAAACCAGGCCTCCCAAATCAGTCTGAGATTGTGTCAGCTGTCTTTTGCATCTAACAAGGCCATCTAAAGGAAAATAAAATCCTGAGGCATTCTGAAAATATTTATTTGTAAGCAAGCAGGTTCCTGGAATAAAAGATTTAACTATTCTAGCTCCCCTGACAGCTTTATCTTCAACTTTATCTTGAAGCTTCCAAATTTACAAAAGTCAAATAACAGCTTAAGACACTAAAAGAACCACTAACCTAAAGTCACATAGTTTCATGCTGTTCAAATCAGTGCAAAGAGAAGATATTCTTCCAGCCCTTCCAGAAGAGGCTTCAAATAATTATCATGCAAATTAATAAAATAGGCTGCCAACAACATACTGCTAGTTAAAATGGTTATGCTTTTAGTTCTTTATTCCTTTTTCGACTAACAGCCTCTCAATCTGAAGCCCTAAATCCCCAAAACGTATATAATACTGTTAGTTTTCTCTTTACACCTTTCCCATCTCTAACTCTTAACCTCTCCATCTGGTTTGATTTCCCTGCTAAACCTGACTTACCTCCTGTCTGAGTGATGACTTGTATGTCACTTGAGAGAGGACCATCTCCAATTGAGGTAAAAGCCAACACTTTGACTGAATATGTTTTCTGGGGCACTAAATTGCCAATGGTAGTGATTTGGCTATCTGCTACATTATGTTTCATCCAGTTGTTGACATGTTGAGTAGGATCCATGGTATAATACACTCTGTATCCTTGGATCTGTCCATTTGGCTCCTCAGGTTCCTTCCACTGTACCAAGATGGTGGTTGAGCTCAACATCCGTGCCTGGACATCCCTTGGGGCACTGGATGGTGCTTGCTCTGAGGTTTGTGTTAACACAGGTTCACTGGGAGGCCCCCGCCCAATGTTATTGACAGCTACAACTCTGAATTCATAATCCGAGTAGGGACTTAGTCCAGCAACACTGTAGCGTGTGGTTGCTACCCCATCGATTTCTTTGTAAGGTTCCTCAGAATTTTTAGGTTTATGCTGAATGATGTAGTAGGAGACAGGCTCAGGGTTCCCAGAGTCCCATGTTAGGGTGATGCTTGTAGCAGTGCTTTCAGTCACTACTGGAGTTCCTGGAGGTTTGGGTAAGGCTTAGGAACAGAGAAAAGAGAATGAAGACTCGTCTTCTCCATGATGTTACAAGAATCCACAATATTCTGCACTTGGAACAACAGGACTATATATCTATTGAATGACTGACTGGATGAAATCAAAGCAAAAGACAGCATTCAGAGAGGTCAGAATGTACAGTGAGACATACACAGAGGACAGTAATTCTAGTTGACTTCCACATATTGATTGCATATAGTTGGGCATATATTGATTGCATATATTTTGTATCCAAATCTACCATGTACTACTAGCTGAGAGATCCAGGCTGTGTTAGTAACCTCTCTTAGCTTTAGCTTCTTCATGTGGAAAATGGGAAAACCGTAATTACCGGAGCTGTAGTGTGTATCTGAATTTGAGCTTCATGAGTTTGCTATGAAGATGAATGAGACCCCTTAGAATGGACCTGTCACCCTCAAAAGAATCCGTAGTTGCACATATTATACCAAGATGTTGGTCACATGACCCGTGCCACAATAAATACATAATAGAAATAAATAACAGCAAATGTTATTAAACTAATTATAAAGAAAAGCAAGACTTGAGTGTAGTGCTGGAGTACAATGCTTACCCAGCATGCATAGGATCCTCTTTTAGATCACTAGTCATATGTACATATCAAAACATACACTGAAGAATTTTAAAGTAAAAAAGAATAATAATTCTGGGCCCCATTTTATTTTAGTTTTATTTTTTTGGTCCAGTTGTGTGGGCTTGGGCACTGTCTCTCAGCTCTTCAGCTCAAGGCTAGTGCTCTACCACTTGAGCCACAGTGCCACTTCCAGCTTTTTTCTTTTTGCTTATGGGGTACTGAGGAATCAAACCCAAGGCCTCATGCATGCAAGGCAAGCACTCTACCACTGAGCCACCTTCCCAGCCTCTGGGCCCCATTTTTAATTATTATATATCCTAAAAGAACTTAAGCCATTTGCAAACAACTTTTTAAAGCATTTTATTATCAGTAACAATAAATGTTCTACATTCTACATCAGATATGTTTAAAACTATAGTAGTTGAAAAAATAAACTTTTAAATCCATCTGAGAGATCTAATGTTCTTATTTGAGTAGAATCATACTCAAAATGATGCTATTTAATCATACAAGCTATCTGTATTGATGAGTTACTAGGAAATGAATTCCCATTTGTTCGGCAAGCACTCTACCGCTTAAGCCGTGTCCACAGTCCTTAACTCCCATTTTCTTGATTTAAAATCCAGAAAATGAAAAACCTAGTAGTCAGCTTTTTTCTGTTTGTGTGTCAGTCAACGGGCTTGAACCCTGGGCCTAAGTACTATCCCCGAGCTCTTCAGCCTAAGTACTATCCCTGAGCTCTTCAGCTCACAGCGAGCGCTCTACCACTTGAGCCACAAGGCCATTTCTGGTTTTCTGGTGGTTTATTGGACAGTAGAGTCTCATGGACTTTCCTGCCTGGACTGGCTTTGAAGTGTGATCCTCAGATCTCAGCCTTCTGAGTAGCTAGGATTACAGGTGTGAGCCACTGATGCCCGAATCTAGTAGTCAGTTTTTTAAGGACACTCATAACATAGTATTCTATGACCAATTTATTTGTATACCTAGGTCCTTTTCAACATAAAGGCAAAAGTTACAACAGCCCTGGGAATTGTTGCTTTCTAAAAAGCACCAGCTTTTTCCTGTATTCTCAGTACCATAACATTGCCTGGCACCAAGTAGATTTTTCCTGAGGATTGACTGAATGATGTTTCCTCACTTTTTCAAGCATTTCTTTCCATTTTGATTTCTCTCTTTTTTTCTTTCTTTTTGCCTTCAATATATACCCTTATGCTGAATTTCTGAAGTACACAGAGTGAGAAATTGGCAGTTAGGAAAACAAAGATAAGAACATGAACAGACATTAGTTCAATGTGACTCCTGCTTTTGCATTCTTTAAAGCCTTTCACAAACTTTCAAATATTTAAAGCACAAATAGTCATTATGAAAAGAGATGATTCAATATTTGCATATTACCCTAAAAACAAAAGTATGATAATATTTGGCCTGGTAAATGTTCTAAAAATAATAAAAAAGACATTTGTTCAAATCCTCTAGCTTGACACTTTGTTGTATTTTTCAAAGAAGGGAGCAAGCCAGATATCTTCTATATGTCTTTGTGAACTTTGAAGGTAAATAAAAATGTTGCTAATTAAAGTCTTGTATGTTGATATTTAGCTGACATTATTAGCTTTGTCAAGTAATATTTATGGCACAATATGTTTTGTGTCTGTAATATGTAAATACAGTAGGCTTAATACATTAAAATACATAATGTTATTTTAAATAACTGTAAATGTCATTTATGTGTACTCAAGTCACATTATTGGGTTTTATGCTTTCTTAACGATAAGACAACAATTATAACATGTCTAAGTGCATTCTTTCTACTAAGGGAAGATGATTTGTTCATTTTGCAATAATTCTAACATTTGCAGTAAGCTCTAGTCACACTCAGTCTGATCCAATGTGCACGTTTTATACAATTCTACAAATAATGAACAAGTAAAAATGCTATTACTACTTTTCAATATTGTTCATTTTTATTTTCTTCTGTTTTATATTTTTATTGAAAACGTTGCTTTGGTTTAATATGTTTATGTCAAGAAGGTATTATTTCATCTATGCAAAGTACAAAATAAAACCAAACCAAATTAAATAATATTTACATTTTTTTGTTTTTATTGGTAATGACTTATTGGTACTACTTATTTGGATCTGTTTTGCAACATTAATCAAGACTCAGGACTTATATTAAACATAATATTACAACAATGCATGAGCAGATATAGCATTCCTAATCCTGTTTGGTTGGTGCCTGGGCACAACTCATTGCTACATATTTTGCTAATATTCTCTATTTAGTTATCCAATACTTTATTTTAAATAAAAATCTGATTACCAAAGGTCCTTGTAGCTTATATATAATGATTATCTTAAGTATGATTAGGTTCTCTGCATTTAAAATTTTGAGCACTAAATAGAGGCATTGTAGAATTCTAAGGAAAGAAACATGAATCAGGTGTGTTGAGAGCACTCTGACATATACATACCTTTGACAGTGATCTGTGCTATTGCTTCAATGACACCTAGTGTTGACATGGCAACACAGGTATAATTTGCTGACTGTCTTACATCATTCAGTTCTAAGACATTTCTCCCAATAGGCATGTCATCTTCAGGTGTCAAATCTTCTGCCCCCAACATCCACTTCACATAAGGCATTGGTGACCCCACTGCCACACAGGTGATATTAACACTTCCACCTGGCATGATTTCATGATTAGTGGGTGGGATAGAGAATCTTGGTGGGACACGGCGAACTGGAATGAAACACAAGGAAGATGATGACATATACAAGGCAAGGAAAAGAGTGGCTTATTAAACACATGACATGCACTGTACAAACACAATTAAACAATTGAAACATATTATGGCTTGTCCAAAAACAAAACATGAAGAAAAACCGTGGATAACACAGACCATACTTGTATGGTCTATGTATACACAGAAGACTTCATTTAGTTTAATCATTGATATCTTAGACACATTCATAGAAAAGTCGATTCAGACCTACAAGGGCCCCACAAAAAATACTATCTACAAACTAACAATGCACAAACATCATGCATAAGAGAAACACACAAATAAACATATACATGCATGCATATAACAATGATTCTATGAATGCATGTATATGCAGAAGGGAAGCTTGGAAGGTCACCAGCAGGTTTTACATTGCCTATCAAAACCAACATCAGTGCAGTGAACTTCCAGGAGATATAAATTTAATTATGAGATCACATTGTCACATCTGAGCCCTGGAAAATGTCACCTAGGGTACACTGAAAGTACATTTTTTCAATTTGCTTTTGGCTTCAAGGGTGAATGCAGTCTGAAAAATCTCATACTGACAATGGAACAGACACAGAGATATACATATATATACATATATGTATACATAAGTACATAGATACATATTGGCTTATAGTCACAGAAGAAGAAACAAACCAATACCAGTAGAGATACTGGATTGAGTCATTCATGCAGAGCATGCACAAGATGGAATCTCAAGACCCATGCTAAGATAATGGGAAATGGCTGGATTCCAAGACAACAAGGACAATAGAAACATAATGGAGAAACAGCACTAAACACAAAGGGAGAGAAAAAGGAACAGTGATTAAGACAGAGACTTAAGGGATGACACGGTTGAAAATGATCAGGTATTAAGTTAGCTGAGATTGTTAAAGGTAAGCATAGTAAATTCAGAGAGAAGAATGGACATTTCATATTCAGAATTCCACTAGGTTTGTAATTTATTATTAAAAGGACATCAATGACTACAAAAATCTTATATGAGGCTTTTAATGCCTACATTCCAAACAAAGGACACTGGATCATCAACATAGAGCCAGACAAAGACATTAACAGAAGTGATCATATTAAAGCAATATAACACAGAAACAATTACCAAGCAGTTATAGTTCAGTGCTCCTGCTTCAGATAATCTGTATATTTATGTAAGTTTAAACATACACATGTTTTGGACATGGTAGAAAAATAATTAACGAGACAAATACGTTTCATCTTGGACTGGTTTTTTGATGAAATATTATACTAGGGGATTTTTTTTATCAAAGGAGTAATCTTTAGGAGTATACCTTAAATATAGATAATAAATTGATTGTCAAAATTATATTAAAAAGACAGAGAGATTAAAAAAAACCCTTTTAGCTCCCCCCCCCCCAAAAAAAGATAATCTGTCTGAAAACTCTGGCTGCACTTAAGGATGACATAAACTTCCGTTGATATGAGATGGCTCACTGCAATGGCCTCATGGGAAAATGATACTCATGGGAAAAGAAGAGAACATTAAGCATGCCTCCTGCAGCCCATCCACAGAGGTTACTCAAACAAGCAGGAGCCAGTGTAGACAATTCCGAAGTGTCCAAGAACACATCGAGAAAAATGGAGGAGAGTTTAGTCTTCATGCGTGGGATTAGAGGAACACTATAAAACATCATTCTGTGAAAAGCAGGCATCCTTAGAAGACAGAAATTAAAGGTGGGGTAGGACATGGGAGGAGTGGAAGAGAGAGGAAAGCAGGAACACTGACCAGATTCACTGTACCTTAGAGAGTTAATTGTTACCAGCTATCATGCACCCAAGTACATTCTTTCTCATCATGCAGCACCGTTAGCCACTATCAGCAAGCAACAGAAGCCATGGCCAGAGCATTCTCTGCTAAAACATACCCATGAACCAAAAAAGAAGACCACAATGCAGCTACATTCATTTCATTTGTATTCTTTGTTATTGGTTTAAGTAATAGTTTTGTAAGGTGGGTAAAAAGTAAAAAACACACCAACCTTCTCGCAGCTCTGAGGGATGTAGGGGGTTTGATGCAGAACACAATGAAATGAGGAAAGGAGAAAAACAAGGGAAACACAGAGAGAGTAAAAAGGCCATATCAAGGCTTTCAACTGCTACTTGAACATCTTTTATTTGGTCTAGTTCATCTGCCTTACTGATACTGGAGAAGTTAGCAATACCTCATAGACTAACATGGCCTTAGAAACAATAACTAGCATCATTTTGAAATTTTTCCATGAAAGAAGGTCCACATGCCTCATGCAGCAAAGGTGGTCTCCATTGTAAAGAAAAAAATGGATCAAGGGCTCTCGAAGAATTGGGAGAAGAACACGGTCTTTATTTCCCCCGCCCAGACCCCATAAAAAGAAAAGAATAAACAAAAACATCCCCAGGGAAACAAAATTATCTCTAACAAAAATTTCAAAATCAAGCTAGATATTTGCTCAAGGGATCCCCATTCTATGTTAACTTAAAAACCCAGTCTTTTATCCATCCCACCCACCCATGCCTTTTGTATTTATTCAGATGTGCAGACCCAAGATAAAAAGGTTTCCACTGAACAAAAATTATATGGAAGTACTTCCTTTTATTGCTACCTGAGAAAATATGAATGTATTTTTATAATTCACTCTTATTCCAAGGACAATGAATATTAATGCTAAAATATAGTGTTACATGATGATCTAAAGATTAAAAGTTTCACTACATCTTAATACTTTAAATAAATATATGTAAAATATATTTAAACACACCCCTAGATGCACATATAAAATACTATGTGTTGGTTATTAAGACAGTAAAAACAGGATAGAATTGTGCTATCTCCATTAGCATCTGTATTTTATTTCATTTCTAAATTTAGCAATTTTCCCCTCAAAGCTCAGTAGTAAAGGTCATAAAGACATAAACACCTTTATGCTTGGACTTGTACACAGAACTGATTAGTAGCACACCAAGCAATTATTTCAAGTTTGGTAAGGAAACATAAGAGAAACAACACAGAAAAAAATAGTAGAAGAGAAAAAAAGGAGAAAAACCTCAAACCAATGCCAAGCACAGTTCAATCAATGCACTCAAAATGGAAATCAATTTTTTTTAAATGCAAATATACTTACAAACCTCAGGGCAGATTACGTTCTCAAGAGTTCTCTTGTTTTTAAAAAACCGACAGATTTTAAGATTTTTTTAAACTTTTCTATTTACTAAAACGCTTCAGCTACTGGAACCATTACCAAATCTACTTATTACATGCTGCCATCCTCACAGAGACCCTGCGAATATGTCAGTTCCCCCTGAGACTTAATGGAGAAGCTACATCAGGGTTATGTCATTCCTACCTCTGACATATAAATTGGCAGGGGCAGAGTAGCGAGTGCCTGCGCTGTTCGTAGCAACACACTCATATTTTCCTTGGTCAGATTCTTCACTCTGTTCGATCTGAAGGGCTCCTGTGCGGATATAAAATATATTGCCAACAAGATGGTCAGAGGAGGTTTTCGCCACTCGCAAAGCTAAACCTCTTAACAATATGAAAAGCCCTGCAAAGCGAAGGTCCGCTCAGCGTCGATTCAATCTCTCGCTAAGTTGTACAGACAGAAAATGATGCGATGAGAAGAACATAGAGAGATTATTTTTATTTTACATCATCAATGCTAAGCATAAGAAACAATATCTCTTTTCCCAAGCAAGAATTCTAGTCATAATTAACACTCTTATTTCCTAGACTAATAAAATGAAGATGGGTGAGACTGCTTCAAGAAAGTATGGCTTTTAAATAAAACAAAATATTAATTTTTTTTGTTTTGTTTTGTTCCATTTTGATATCAAAAGTGGTGCCAAAGATAGGTACGCTCAAAAAAAAGGAAAAACAGTCTGCGTTTTCAAGAAAGTCTTCTGCTGAAGAAAGCCAAAAATACGCAGCGCGCATAAAAAAAGAAGGCTGCACAAAGCAAAAACTATTAAAATTAGTCATTATCAATTATGAAAATATTACTTAAAGAAACAAAACTCCCTTAAGACATGCAGATTTTTAAGAAAAGAAAGACAGTTTGCCACAACTTACAATCATGTATTACATTTGCTGAAAAACAAAGAGTATTTGCATTAGAAGTTTTTTTTTTTCTTAAAAAGTTAAAAATCACGGCTTAGACCAGCCAGGAAGAACCAACCAATCACTGCTTGAGGACCTCCAGGCGGATCCCCTAAAGACACCCATCAAAATCCACCAGTGGGATTAGCAGTGTGGTGTCACAAAACCCCAAGAAAAATACAAAAGAAGAATTACAAAAGGAATAAACACTGAGTCAAAGTATGAAAAACCAACAATATCACATAGACCACCAAGAAATACTGAGCACCTTGTTTCCATAGCCTGAAGGACAGAAGATCCAAAAATCCAGAGACGAGTAATCCAAGAAAAAAAAGAAGTAGAGAAAAAAGCATTGCTGTCAGATTGTAGGCGAGTGGAGGGGTCAGGTGGAAAGGGGGAGTCATTCTTTGACTTTTAAGACATTAAGAGAAAAAAGAATTGAAGAACAAAAGCAAAAACCTTGTGAAAGATAAAGACAAAAAGCAGAGGGTCCAGGCTGTCTTCTGCATGTCTGCCACTGTTCTCCAGACCGCCTTGGCTTTGGTCCAGAAAAAAAGAACAGCTAAGGAAGAAAAAAAAAATGATCTTTTTTTTTTTCTCCAGTTGGACAAAAAAAAAAAAGGAAAAAGAAGAAAAAAAGAGACAAAAACAAAAAAAAAAAAGAAAAAGAAAAGAAAAAAAAAGAAAAAGAAGAAGAAGAGAAGAAGAAGAAAAAGAAAAAAAAAGAGGGACAGATGGTACGCTGTGACTGGTCTGTGGTCAAAAGACCTGGATATGCTTTCTTTGAAGCATATCACAACGGAAATAATTGTTTTCATAAAGAAAGAAATGAACAAAACAAAGAGGAAAAAGGGAAAAGAAAAGGAAAGTCCACAATATGAGGATCACGAATCATAACCAAACAGTACAAAGGGGGAAAATAAATCAAGTTGATGGACATTATTGGAATGGTTTGAAAACAAGACAAAGATGAGAGGGATGAGAGGACAGGAAGAATGAGTAAGATCATTCTGTGAACGTTAGGTCGGCACTCTTACCTCTTATTGGTGTACCACCTGGGTGGATAATATGAATGCAAATAAGATTAGAAAGAAGAAGCATTAGTACGAGAAGAAGGAGGCTAGGGCTGGGGAGAAGAATTAAATTAGATTTACAGAATTAAATAAGGTCTTAAAAGAAACTTGAATTACTATACTGGTAAAACAGGAATATATTAGGTAGTATTATTAGATCATCAAAAAGCAAGTTGCATTATCCCACAGAGGGCAAAGACTATAATAGGCAGCATTGCCTTTCTCAGAGAAACAACTGAGTACCTAGGTCTGGGGTCACTTAGGGTTAGAACTCTGACTTATATGTTTCATATCCATAAAAAAAGGACTATGCAATATTTTAAAAAGACATAGTTTAGGAAGATATTGGCTAAGCTATTTAAGTATATATATAGTTATGCATATATATATACACCATCATAGGAAACACTAAGGACTGACTGGAAACAAATACTGTTGGTTGGATATCATATGCTAGCTACTATGCTACATTTGTGTGATATAACTTGTGTACTATTTTAGTTTTTTATACAGTGTTCTTACAATAATAGTTTTGTGGAGGTGTGCAAGTGCGCGCCACTATGGAGCTCTGGTGTCTACACTGACAGTTAGTAAAATGCATGCCATGCATTTTATTAAAATTAATAGTAATAATAGTAATCTGCATATGGAAATTAGTGGGGGTGAAGTGCGCTTCAGAACTAAGCACTTACCAATAGATTCTGGAGATTTAAATACGGAGAGAAGAAAGACAGCATAAAAATATTATTATATTCCTTATAATTTGGTACAATTTTTTCAGAGTTAAAGCTTTATTATATTAAATCATCTATGTTACATGTGAATAATTACTTCTTTATTTACAAAAACAGAATGCTAATCTACACAATTCTGCTGACAACAAGCAAAAAAAGGCAGTTAACAAGACGCTTTAACATCACAGGACAGGTCAAAAGCCGAGAATTCTGGGAAGACAGGCAGTTAAACAACTTAGAATTTTTATCAATATGATTACCAATGTTACCACAAACAGCTTATTAGTATATGTCCCTGAGAACTTACCTAGGGAAAGGCTATAAAACTTAAGATATTTAGAAGGATCTCTATATTTAATCTATAGAGAGCAAAGGAATAGACTCGGGGAGGGGATTGGGAGGGGGAAATGGGGTAAAAAGAGAAAACAGCAACAGCTGGAATCTATACCAAAAGCAGACTTCTGTAGATCCAGTCAACAGAGGGTTCAAAACCTTGAGTGTGGGAACACACTACTGTGGCTAGTGTGTGGACAATGCTCACTCATATATAATATGCTCACTCAAATAGAAATACAGGATTGGTGACTTGAAAAGGACTTAAAAATACATCTGGTTTTCATGAGATAACGTTTCTATGGTTTATGTATTAGTGAAAAGAAAGCAGATGTGCCCACTTACTAAACCTTGGTACTTTTGGATGAGTTCAAATGCAGAAAGATAGCCGAAAACACACTTTAATAAAGTTAAATCATTTGTTCTTGTTTGATAGGAACATTTGGTTTCTGAATGGATATAACCATTGGAACTCCTTGCAAGTTCTGAACGAAGTCCAATGTTGAAATAAATTTGTTTCAAAAGAAAACAGAGAAAGAAGAAAGAAAGAGGAGAAAATGGATTCATCAAATACTGCAGAAAAGCAGTAATTCAAAATATACTAAAACTACAGTCACAGCAGTGAGCAATGTGGATTGAACAGAAGCTGCAGAAGACAGAGAGAAGAAAGACCATGTCAGGTCATGACATCACACACAGACAACACATTAAATAACAGAGAAAGAGAAGAGGGAGGAAAATCAATACCTAGAACTCAAAAACAGAAATAAAATTAAAAATTTTAAAAAAAAGTAAGAGAAAGATTAAAAAAAAATTCTTTAGGAGTCAATAGAAACAGTAACAAGACCCTACCTGATCGTAACTGCTTAATACGACCATTGTTGTTGCTTGTGTCGACAGGTAAGAAATCTTTAAACCAAGTGATTTCTGGATCCGGATTACCACTGGCTGCACAAAGCATGGTGGCAGTGCGTGTACGCTCTACCACCTTTAACTGTGGGCCCATATCAATGGTAGGAAAGCCCCTAGGAATCTGGTCCTCTGAAAGACAAATAAACAATACAAAAATTATGTTCAGTCAAAGGCCCTAAATTCAATTTTCCATAAATCTCTTATTTGACCTGATTCAGAATTTATTGAGAACCTATTATAAATAAGGCACTATGGCACTATGAGATACATTCTCAATGTCTATTATCGAGTCTCAGAATAAACTACCTCTGTAGAAGGATGGAACTTATCAGGTGGTCAAGACTGTCATGAGGTAATTCATACAATTCTCTTTTAAGAGTTCTGAGGGACAAATAAAAGTACTCGGCTCTGGGCCCAGTGAGACCTGAGAAGAAACTTTGACTTACAATGGGCCTTTGGAAAGAAATCAAGTCGCCCAAGTTCAAAATGAAGGAACTTAGAAAGATGGCAATGTCCTAAGTCTAGGTATTGATATAATATTTTTACTGGGTGTAAAAACATGCAATCCAACCAGGCCAACACAGGGATTGCAGTAAAGAGTGAATCAAGGGAGCAGTATTCCAAGCAAGTATTCCATGATGACATGTTTTTATTATAACTTTCAAATAAAACTATATAGGCTTGCTCCTTATATCCATTGTTTTTCCTTAACTGGTGAAAATATTTCACCAGCTAAGGATTGAAAATATTTTGAAAAATTGTCTACACTAAAAAATGTACATGGGCTGGGAAGGTGGCTCAGTGGTAGAGTGCTTGTCTTACATGCATGAGGCTCTGGGTTTGATTCATCAACACCACATAAGCATAAAAAGCCAGAAGTGGCGCTGTGGCTCAAGTGGTAGAGTGTTCGCCTTGAGCTGAAGAACTGAGGAACAGCGCTCAATCCCAGAGTTCAAGCCCCATGATGGACCAAAAACAAAACAAAAATAAAAATAAAAAATATACAGACATTTTTCTTGCCATTATTACCTAAACAACATAATATTAGAACCATCTGCATAATATTCACATTGTACTATGTTACAAATAATCTAGAGAACATTTAAAGTATAAAAGAATGTACAGTTATATATATATATATATATATATCATCTTATGTATATAAGACATTTGAGTATCTACAGATATTATTTTGTCTCTCTGTTTCTCTGTGACTCTTTCTCTTCTTTTCTTCTTCCCTCCCCTTATATCTCTCTCTGTGTATATGCATGCCCAAAACTACTCATATATTTAGAAATAACTATGTGCATTTTTCAAACAAACGTAAAGTTCAACTTGAATAAATTCCTTGTAAGAAATTTAATTGATTATAAAATAGTCTAGTAGTGCTTTACCAACGAATAATTACTATTTCTTATTTCTGACAAAAATAAATTCCGAAAAGCCTATAGCACTTTTAGTAATTAAAAAATTGAAACTCACTTTGTACAGCTCCTTAAAAATAACAATTAAGAAACCTCAACCCCTCCCCCCCCAAAAAAAACAAAAACAAACAAGTCAAGTTTGCTGAATTTTCAACCTCAAATTTATCCCATCAACTTTTCTTTATAAACATGAAAGCTTCTCTAGATAACAAAGCTTGATCAATTATAGTTTACTTAAATGCCACAAATGTGTTACTGAAGAGTAAAATTTTCAAAAAAAAAAAAAAAGACCAAAGTTTTCAGAACAACAGTCCTGGATTATAAGAGAAAACCGATGAACTAATAAGTCAAAATGTAGGCTTTTGGTCTCCTTTTGAGCAGGAACAAAGTTATATAATTTCTACCATCTGCCTTGAATGAGTCGAAGATGCTATCAAAACTCAAATTTAACACTTGAGCTTAGAAGATTATTTCAAATAAATAAATAACACAAAAATAGATTTTTGAAACAGTCCACACCAATAAGCTACATTTTATTTAAGCTGATGATGTGTCTCTGCCAGGGAGACAGCATCTCTGTGTATGCAAATGTACATCCATCCTCAGCCAAGCAGAGTACTTCAGCGGACGAGTGTCAGTGATCTTGGTAAAGAGTGGAATTTCAAGATGATGTTTCGAGTCTCCAAGGGAAAGTTCAATATTAAAAATGGAACAAGGAGTAGTATCTTGCAAATTAGGCTATGCAGATTTAAATAATCTATTCCACTTGAATTTCATCAGGCTGTGCTTTATGTCCTTAAAGCTTTTGTCAATATATTTACATATACAGTATATGTATATTGTTGTTGGAGGAAGCAAGGTGAGAAAGATAAATGGCTGCTATTTCACAGAAATGTTATCATTAAATTTCAGCATCAGTGACATAAAATACTTCAAAGTATAATGATAATTTACCTCATCAATTACAGTGCTGTCCTCATACAGTTTGTTAAATAGCTCTTAGATTTTGATGTTATTTTCTACTTTTAAAGAAGCCAGGTAAAGTTACTGATGATGATGATAATAATAATAATAATTAATAATAATAATAAAATCACCTTGGGATTTCTGAATGGTTTCTATATTACCCAGGGCATTCTAAACTCCCTACTGGTGTTGAACTACTAGTTACCATTACCTGCATAAATAGTGCTCTGTTATTCATTTTCCTCTACAAATTCCTCTCACAGAACAACAGAGCCAATATTCAGGGCTGCTTAGTAGCAAGTGTCAAGGCTTAAGATTGTTGAACCACTTACTGAAGGCTCTTACCAAGGAAATCTAAACTTAATAACCATTTATAAGAAGTGAAGTTCTCACCTTGGGGGTAGCTGAAAAAATTGACTTTTGTGCCCTCTGAAAGTAATCTAAAACAGTGTATGACCTTTCCTTTTCCTCATTGGCTCATACAGAACACTCCAGAGCCTCTTTCCCATATATGCCAATGTACAACAAGATAATCTTTCTTGCATACTAATTGGACAGAGAATGTAAAAAGCATTCCATTCTTATTTTTAATACGAGTAATTAAATTCTATCCATCCCCCTCTTTGCACAGAAGCTTTTTGAATGCACTTTCTTCATTAAATTTTCATGAGCAACATCACAATGTAAGAGATTCAAATAGCCAGAGCTGTTACAGGTTGACAGTTGTGGCTCCTTTCCAATTTGACTGTCAGGTATTTGGCAATAAAACTCAGTATTCAACATAAAATGAACTGTAGAAATAATGAATTTTCTAATTGGAATGCTTATCTCAGTGGGTATACTTTAGAAGATGTTAATTGCTTTTTTTCACCAGCCTTACATTTATTAGTGATTTATATAAAACTACCTTGGCCATTTGATAACGTCAACTTTGACAGCTTATCAAATGAATAGTACTAGGATCTAGGGAATCTAACCAATACCCTCGCTACATTAACCAAATACACTTTCATGGGTAAAAATCAGCTAATAGAAATTAGCAAATTTGTCAATACATTCATAGTTTTCAACTTTTACATGAGGTGAAAAGAAAAACATTTTGTCCTATTCATTAATGTGCTCATTAAGCTTTAAAGTACTTCACTTACCACCGTTCCATATTAATATCCAATCATGCAGAATTAGCTACTAATTCATCCACAATTTAAATCAGACTTGACCTTCATGAAGCTATTTGGTCTGTCATTTTGAGAGGCCATTAAAGGGCAGATGACTACCTATTGTGCTTAGTGAATCGGAGAGGCATACATATATTGTTTGGAATGGCAGCTATAAAGACTTGGAAATAGAGCCCATTCTTTGAATCTGTTTATATCTTAATGAAATATGCTGATATGGAGTTTTCAGTTCCATTAAAGAAAAAGAGAAATTTACATCACCATTTTACAGAGTTAACTTTCATTGCTCTTCAACTTGTTAACAAGTCATGACCTTCTCTGGACTTTAAAGGTATCTATGATGAAAATGTCTGTCACTACTTTGAAGAGAGTCTTGCCTTAGATATCTGTGAATGATCAAGTAATAGCTTTTGCCTAATTTGTTCAGTTCAGCTGCTTTCATTTCTCATCCATAAACAATTTTAATGATGACTTTATATTAGCTTCAAGTCTACAAATACTGTCTCATATTTGAGAATAGCTCTAGGATGGCCCTTTTTGCTTGATCCTACTAGAACTTATACAGAATAAATACAACAATATGAGTCCTTTGACTTTATTCCTAAGTGAGTTAAGGACGTTTTCACTGAAGGTCATGGCCTTAGAAAAAAGTAATACAAGGTTATCAGATTTACCACCAATATATTTAAGAGCAAAATCACGTCATTCAATAGTATGCTTCTGCAAGTGCATCACTGAATGATTTGATAAGTGTACCTGGACATTTAGACATCATTAATAAAACAGGTCTTGCCAAGGATGGTGGTACAATAAAACAAAATCAGAATTTGGAGGAATAAACAGGTTTTCCTCTTGGAGAATTTGTCCCTTAAAGTAATTCTTCTGAGTGCTGAACAATTAATAGTGGGTTTTCTTTCAAAGATCCCCAATAGGCATTACCAATAAACACCTTATTATGGTCAATATACATGTAAATTAATAAAGCTCTTAAAATGTAGTAACTTTATGTGCTGTTGTTTTTTGTTTATTTGTGTGTTTTGTTTTTGTCAGTTGTGGGGCCTGAACTCTGGGCCTAGGAATTGTCCCTGAGCTCTTCAGCTCAAGGCTAGGGCTCTACCACTTGAGCCACAGCATCACTTCTGGTTTTTTCTGCTTATGTGGTGCTGAGGAATTGAACCCAGGGCCTCATGTGTACAAAGCAAGCACTCTACCACCGAGCCACCTTCCCAGCTCTGTTTAATGTTCTTAAAGGTCCTCAGTGCTCAACAAATACTCAAAATTGGATGTTGAGAATGACACCAGTATTTCTGGGCTCCCTTAGGAGACAACACAATTCCTTATGGCGTTCATTGAAATAGCTATTATACATTTGACCTCTAAATGAGTATCAGCACATCGGGAGGTACAGAATAATCTTTAGAATCCTATTTTATTTTGTACCATATCTTATCTTACCTTCATTTTTATTGGCACTGGGAGTGACCATTTGGCTTCATACTTACTTAGCTAAGCATTCTTCCACAAGAAGTATGCCCCTCCCCAAACTTTGCTTCTGAGATAA